TTGTGGCAGGCCCTTCATCATGTCCCCCCAGTCCTTCTTTTCAGTAGACTAGACATACCCATTGTATCTTGAGCCTGTCTTCTGGGGTGTTGGCTATTCCTGCCAACTTGGGGTTGCTCATAAATTTGAAGAATTTCCCTTCTATTCTTTCATTTCAATCGTTTATGAAGATATAAGACAGAACCTTGGGCTATCCAACTGCTTCCTTCTTTCCATGTAAATGTAGTCCAGGACTACATACTGAGTGTGGTTTGTCAGCCAGTTATGAATCCATCTGGTGATGATGCTGTCTATTCCACATTTTTCTAACTTACTAAGAAGTAGGTTGTGGTCTATTTTGTCAAATACCTTACTGAAATCCAACTATACTATGCCCACAGCATTTTGCTGGTCCACTAACTTAGTCACTTTGTCAAAGAATGAAATAAGATTTGCAATAGTGGCGAAATAAGATTTATTTGGCATGATCTCTTTTTGACAAACCCATGTTGGCTTCTGGTTAAAACTTTGCTTGCTTCTAGGTGTTGGCTGATCTGTTGCTTAATTTTCCAGGATCTTCCCAGGTATTGATGTTAAGCTGATTAGTCTGTAGTTTCCTGGATCAATTTTTTCCCCTTTTCTGAAGATGGGAACCACATTTTTTCCAATTCTCTGGTAGTTCCCCAGTGCTCCAGGATCTTTGAAACATATGGTTCAATGGTTCTGAGATCACATCCGCCAACTCTGGGATGTAAACGATCAGATCCTGGTGATTTGAATTCATCTAGGGTGGACAGGTGTTCTCTTACCATTTCCTTGCCTATTTTAATTTGCATTCTTAGTCTGTCTTTTACAGTTCTAGGGTTTTGATAGGTTGGGCTATTTTTTTCTTTTGTGTGAAGACAGATGCAAAGAATGGAAGTTCTGCTTTCTCCTTGCTGCCCATCACTTCCTTGCCATTTTCTCCCATTAGTGGACTGATTGTTTCCTTGACTTTTTTCTTGTTTTTTACATGTTGAAAGACACTTTTTATTCTTATGTAGCAGGGCTGACTGAAAGGCTTTGCAGGAGCCTGCCTGGGGAGAGGGAAGCTCAGACAGCTGCTGCCGGTTTTGGGCGCAGCGGGCGTGGATCAGGCGGAAGGAAAGAAAAAGGAGGAAAGAAAGGGGGTGGGGTGGTTGCTGTTGTTGGAGAGAGACCAGGTGAAGTCGAAGAGGGATTTGAGGTTTTACCTGATCCCTTTCTGTGAAGAAGAGGGAAGGAGAGAGTGAGAGAGACTGAGAAGGTGGAATTTTATTGCTTTCTTTCACAGGGGGAATATCCCCTGGCGGAGGCAAGAGAGAGAGTGAGGAGAGAGGAAGTTGCTGGGGTTGCTAAATTCAGATTTTAATACTAAAGGAAGGGGGGAGGGGTTTTGACACCGACGAGACCTGAGACTGCGAGCGACAACAGAAAAGAAGGAGAGGCCGGTCGTTACTGCTTTGGAGATTAGCGGCCATCCAAGCTTTGATTACTGTTACTTGTGCAAGTTATAGACATTGTAGGGAGTTACCTTTGCGGGGCGAGCTGAGTACCTTCGTTCATGTTCCTATCGCTGCCTGGAGCTGGGTTTTTCCCCACCCCACTTGTTTCCAAACGGTCGCTGTGAAATCATTGACTATTGCAGCTATGACTGCCTGGGGCTGTTAAACACCATCACGCATCGACTATCAGGGCTAGGGGCTGGACATCTTTGTTCCTGAAAGCCCCCCCATTGCTGACGAGAGTCTGCCACCTCCTCACTTCATGTGAGCTTCTGCTAGAAAAGACACTTTACTAACACCTTGAGAGCGCAGCTGCAGAGCGCGACGGAGGGGAACGGGGCTGGGTGGGCCTGGGCTTTGGCGGCCTCTGAGGGGGTAATGCTACAATTATTTTTATTATTTTGGACATTTGTTGCAAGTCTGATCCTTAACTTTCCTGACTTCATCTTTGCTGATTCGAGCTATATTCTGGTATTCTGCCTTAGTTATGTGTCCCTGTTTCCATTTTTTATACTTATCTTTTTTGTCTTTCAGTTTATGACAGAGTTCTTTATGCAACCATGCTGGTTTCTTCTTAGATTTCTTATTTTTCTGTTTCAATGGTATTGTACTGGACTGTGCTTTTATAATCATATTTTTCACATTTCCCAGCTTCTTGAGCTGTCTTCCCCTTTAAGATTTCATCCATGGAATCCTTCCCAAACTGTCTCTAAGTTTGTTAAATTAGCATGCTTTTGAGCTGTATCTCCTGTTTATAATCATGAAAGAACTTCAAAGGTTCTTCCTTGTAGACAATTTTTTCTTCAAAACATGCTGATATTCCATGAAATTGGTGTCAGCTCTTAGTAACCACATATGTAGAATCAGCTTCCAGGACACACTGACCCAAACCTAGGGACAGATTACCTCCCAGAGTTGTGGGTGCTCCATCACTGGTGGTCTCAAAGAAAAGATTGCATTGCCATTTGTCCAGGATGCAGCCAGTTGAATTAGAAGACCTCCAAGGTCCCTTCCAGCCCTATTCTAAGGAGCATTCATGTGCAAATGTCTATGGAGATTCTCAGTCATTCAGGTCATAGTTGTCCCAAACAGGCTTTTTCACAAGGCAAGTGGACTTTCTTGTTTTTCTCTGAAGACATTTCGCTTCTCATCCAAGAAGCTTCTTCAGCTCTGACTGGATGGTGGGGATCCAGTCAGAGCCAAAGAAGCTTCTTGGATGAGAAGCGAAACGTCTTCAGAGAAAAACAAGAAACTCTAGTTGCCTTGTGAAAAAGATCCATGTACAAAAGAAATTCAACTATTTTAATGAAGGAGCTAATCCAAAATAAATAGCCTGCATGTTATATCATTAATGAAATATAATTCTTTATGCTAATTAGAGTATTTTGTGATATTATAAACAGGGATTATAAATAAGTACTTGTATTACAACTGTTCCAGCAGATTGTACCATAAGGCATTGTAAGATGCGTAGAGAAATTGAAATGCCCAGAGGAAAATACAAGAGTCATTGTCAGCCATTGCTTGATTTTGGGAAATAATTGACAAGCAGACATAGAGGAAAAACAAAACACCGCATACATTTTACAAGACTGTTGTTTTAACTTGAACACCTAAAAAAACCTAAATGAATAATTTAAGATTTAAATTGTAATTACTTCTGCCAAAAATATATGCAAAATAAAATCCCTCTTCTATTATTTTTGTTCACACTGGAATTCCTGTTTTTTTTGTCTTTCTATATTCTTTTCTACAATTTTGTTTGTAACAAATTTATGACAAGCTAAATTGAAAACCATTGTTTACAGCCACCTGGATAGGGTTCTTATAGAGTCTCTTTGTGAGGGAGATAGGCGATTTTGAAATTTGATAAATACTAGTAAGTGAACTGGTTGGGATCAGACCATACCCACCAGCCATTAAAGCCTTGGTTGACACACAGCTAAGCTAAAACCATGTAAACCACATGCAGTGCTGGCATACTGCATGAGCTCAACCACAAATTTCTGAAACTGGAAATGCTAATTTGATCATTGACATCAATACATGTTAACCCAAAGCCTCATCTCCAGCAGAGAGCAGTCTCTCCCCCCCTCCACCTCTGGGTCATTTATTATCCAATTGGTCTATTAGGAATTCAAGTGGACAATGCCTTCCTGTACCTTAAGTCCATTATCCTGGATCCTTCATTCTAGATTAGAATGAAAGAAATCTGGTGCTAACCTCCTGGATGACCTTTTAAGTACTCAAGGAGTGCTAACAGATTCCTCATCCAGCTTGCCTGCAATGGCCCTCTCAAGGCTACTCACACTCATCTCCCTAAATCTTCTTTTTGGTTCTGTTGGCCAAGAGAAAGTCTGGAATTTGTTTACCCAGCGTAAAAGCCAAGCAGTAATGTAGGGTCGAGGAAAGTGGAAATTTATCATTTTATTTCTGATCAGAAGCAAAGGGACTCTGTTAGCTTCTGTTAGCAAAGAAGCTGGAAGGAGTACTGAGCAGGACTGGCATTCTATTTTTATACCTCAAGATACAGGAAATTCAGAACAGCAATACAATGATTGGTTACAAATTTCTTATCAATATAGCAGGTGTACAAGTAATGCGATTCAGGGTAGAACAGCACGTGTACAAGTTGTGCTGTTTAGATGTTCTTAGCATGACCTATACCACCTAGACCCCTGCTTGCCCCTCAGCCAAAGCTGCAACAAGCTTCTAGGTACTGTTCTAACCGCATCCTGTGCATCTAGCTCTGGTTTCTCTGTAGGATCTGCTTTCAGTGTTCCTTATCAGGCGTGCAGATCTTGTTCTGATCTAGCTAAGCTGCTGGCAGTTTCCTGTTCTGAGTTTCTATGCAGACAAGACAAAAGCAGACTAAAAAGAATAGAAAAGAATATGTTCCTTTTTAAATGAAATACTTTCAAGGTTGGGGTCTCAGGCCCTCAGTCCTTTGCTCACCCTTGCTGCCCTCTGAATCCATAGGGATCTACAAGTGAAGAAACGGCTTTCCAAGTCTTGTGATACCAACTCTGCTACTTTTGCACTTAAGTACAACCTCAGGATGCAAGTAGGGAAGGGCAGAGCTTGCAAGGCAGGTTTCTTCACTTCCACATCAACGTGTTAGGAGCCGATACATCATCTGAACCTTAAATCCGAATTTTTCAAAGCATGATGCCAACCCCTGGGCATGGCTCTGGAGGAGTTTTGAATTCAAAACTCGCTGAACCAGCAAATCACAGCACTAACTGGTCTGTAAAGCCAGGGCCACAGAAAGCTCTGCCTCTGAGCAAGACTTTCCAATTTTCCCTAAAAGCCTAACCCCAGGCCTTCTGCCGCGCCATTAAAAGGAGCTTTTGGCTCGGTCGGGTCGGGGATGCTCAATTTCTGCATCCGATCCTCCGCTCCCCCATCGCTATGGTAACGGCGGCGGTCCATGCCTGGGCAGGCCGCCTCCGGCCCAGCGTGCCTTGCGCGCGGGCAAAATGGCGGCGCCCAGTCCCAGCTCGGGGCGCGCTTTCCCCTTCCCGGGCTCTCCGAGCGAGCATCCCGCGAACGAGGAGCCGCCGTCGGAGGAGAAAAGGCCGAAGAAGCCGCCCTGCCGGGCCTGTACGGACTTCAGGAGCTGGATGCGGGAGCAGAAGAAGCAGGCGGGGCCGGTGAGGAAGGGGGTGGCCGGGCTGCTGGGGGTGGGGCGGGGCTGAGCTGAAAAGGGAGGGACATCTCTCGCCCCCTTCCCTCTGTGGCGTGGCAGAGGTGAGCTCGTTTGCCCACCGCTGGGTTGGAGGCTGAATGGGCGTGGGGGGTGTGTGTATGTGTCATGTACCTTTGGCACTGAAGGCTGGGCGAGAAGTACCACTGGTGGCCGCCAGAGGGCGCCCCCGGGGCCGCTCCATGGGGATCCAGGCCCTCTCACTGCCAGTATGGGGTGGGGGGTGGGGAATACCAGAAATTTCATAAGAAATAAGAAAATAAATAGGCTTCCATGGTGCTGTTTTATCCCGCAGGTATACATGATCCCTTGTAGATCTCATAATCCCAGGTTCTTCCCCTTATTCCTTTTTGCTGACTGATAGAGGCAAAGAAGCAAAAAGGTAAAGGTTTCCCTGTCCACTCCTGTCTGACTCCAGGCTGCCGGTCTCCTCTCCATTTCTCCGGCCTTGTCCGTGGTCATGCGGCCAGCATGGCTATGCGCCTCTGTTACCTTCCCAGCAATTAATCTACTCGCATTTGCATGCTTTTGAACTGCTAGATGGATAGGAGGTGGGGTGAGGACAGGAGCTCACCCTGTTGCAGAGCATTCAAAATGCCCCCCAGTGACATGAACTGGGGGTGAGTTCATGTCACTGGAATCACAAAAATAAGCCTCTCAAATGCTGCCAATTTCAGTCTTGCAGATATTGCTGTCTCTTAGGGGGAGCCTGGAACCCCCACAGAGCGCGTCCCCGGGTGGCAGATTGGAGGGCCCTATCCATTATTTATTTATTTATTTATTTATTTATTTATT